CGGCGCTGCGGCCCTTCGCGTGCGGGGAGTGCGGCAAGGGGTTCGTGCGCCGCTCGCACCTGGCCAACCACCAGCGCATCCACACGGGCGAGAAGCCGCACGGCTGCGGCGAGTGCGGCAAGCGCTTCAGCTGGCGCTCGGACCTGGTGAAGCACCAGCGCGTGCACACGGGCGAGAAGCCCTACATGTGCTCCGAGTGCGGGGAGACCTTCAGCGTCAGCTCGCACCTCTTCACGCACAAGCGCACGCACTCGGGCGAGCGGCCCTACGTGTGCCGCGAGTGTGGCAAGGGCTTCGGCCGCAACTCGCACCTCGTCAACCACCTGCGCGTGCACACGGGCGAGAAGCCGTTCCGCTGCGGCCAGTGCGAGAAGCGCTTCAGCGACTTCTCCACGCTCACGCAGCACCAGCGCACGCACACGGGCGAGAAGCCCTACACGTGCATCGAGTGCGGCAAGAGCTTCATCCAGAGCTCCCACCTCATCCGCCACCGCCGCATCCACACCGGCAACAAGCCCCACAAGTGCGCGGGCTGCGGCAAGGGCTTCCGCTACAAGACGCACCTTGCGCAGCACCAGAAGTTGCACGTGTGCTAGGGCGGCGGGGTCCCAAAGGAGGCGGCGCCGGGAGTAGATGGCTTGGTTACTGATCCTGTAGATGTGGGGGAAGGGACGGGAGGGACAGCCCGAGAGTGTCGGGGGGGCGGGTGTGCTTTTAATGTTTGCCCCCAGCCCGCCTCACAGGGGCATGGTTACTAAGAGTGGTTATTTCGAGGTGCCTACCTCCTCCATGGAAGTAACTCTTAGGAGATGTGCTTGAGTTGATGGCTTACTTAAATACACACTGTAAGGAGTGAAGAGCTTGGGGGAACAGATGCTTGGAGGACCCCCACACATACCAGGAAGGGGATGTGGGTGGAGAGGGTCAGGCTGCCATGTTTGTGGGAGCCGAGAGGGGTGGCTGGTTTAGAGTTGTGGGGGTACATACAGTAAAGCGCGGGTAGGAATAAGCCTGTGACACCTCTCACCCTCAGCTCTAGCCAGACCCTTCTCATCCCTATAGAAGAGGGCGCTTCTGTCCACTTCCCTTCCCATGAGCCACAGTTAGCTGCTATTTTGAGACATCCAGGGAAAGTCGAGCAGAGAAACTGCACAATTACTTCAAGGGTCAACCTCGGGTTTAGAAATCCACTCATAACTGGTTCCCGGATTTCTTAGGAAACCCTGCACTTGGTTCTTCCTGTTGGGTCTCGGGTGCCTAGGTGGATGGATGACCCTGACCCGCGTGTAAGCCAGGACTTGCCCCGTCTTGGTCCGGCTTCAGGAGGACTGAAGACCACCTTCAGCAGCGGCCTGAGCAACCTGTTCACAAAAGTCAGCCCGCTCAGTTTTGCTGGTTTTGTGTGGCAAACGCAAGAAAGCTGAGTTCCCAGGATGGGATGCCTTTCTTGGCATGTGTGTGCCCTGACCCCAAGAACCCCAACTTCTGCACAAATTAATGAGGGATCTAGTCCAGACAGGGGTTTCCTTTCTCCCTTCCGTGTGAGAGGCACGGATTTACACATGGAGGGTTCAGACAAGGAGAGGCGGGAATGTAAAATTGCCAAATAGCACAAACAACGAATGTTTTCTAGTTAGATGCCAAAATAGCACTTTTGTATTTACCAAGTGT